GGCATCAAACAGTAGACAGAGCCTGAAGAAATTCATCTTAGGAAACTTAAGGAACTCGCTGAAGCTCAGAGAACTCATGGAGGATGGGTAAGTCCTCAAAGAACTGGAGATAAGTCAAACATAGTCCATATTTGAAAAAAGCAACAAAGAGAACCCATCAAATTATAGACCAGTCAGCCTAATTTCAGTACCTGAAAGAAACTGCAAGCATCTAAAGGATAATAGGGTTGAAAGGAATAACCACCATGGATTACTAAAGAACAAATCATACCAAACCCACAGAGTTACTGTCCCAGCAGATATGATATAACATAGTCTTGGTTTCTGTAAGACTTCTAACACAGTCCACGTGACATTCTCATAAGTGAACGAAGGAAATACAGCCGCTCCCCGAGTTGTGAACAGTCGAGTTACGACTGTTCGCACTTACTACCAAAGCTCCCATGGCGCGGTCGTAAAATCAGTCCCCGAGTTACGAATGCGACCCGCGCTTATGAACAGCACGGTCACGTGTAACTCAATGGAGTCCGAGTTACGAACAGATCTAGTTACGGCCAAGTGTTTGATCTGTAACTCGTTCGTAACTCGGAGGCTTTATGGGCTACATGAAATTACTATACAGGCAGTCCCCGACTTACGCGGATCAGACTTATGTCGGATCCGCAGTTACGAACGGGGCTTTTCTCGCCCGGGAGGACACGGACTGCGGGACCTCGCGGTCCCACCGCCCGTGTACTCCGGGGCGAAAAAAGCTGCTCCGCGTCTCCCTGGTCTGCAGACCAGGAAGACGCGGAGCCATATATACTATGTGACTATTTTCTTCCACTATTTGATCTGAGGAAGTGGGTCTGGCCCACGAAAGCTCATCATCTAATAAACCATCTTGTTAGTCTTTAAAGTGCTACATAGTCCTGTATTTTGTTTCAGCTACACCAGACTATCAAGAAGATGCCTTTTTAAGACATAAGATGCTGCTGAAAATGCAACTTTATTCAAGGTCTCTTTGGTAATGAATGCTACTACAGTGACTCAAATGCATTACAGTAACATCACAGCTAACAAGAAAAATTATCAGCCTTACTTGTTTCAAGGTGAACACCACACAGACTGGATTTAAAATGCTTCAGATAAAGCTAGGGTGTGATACTGTCCTCTTTTCCCACAGGAAATAGCTTAAGACACAACTCTCCACGTGTCGTATTTGAAGCTTTTGTTTGCATTAGGTAGTGCAAAAGCTAAAAATACCATAAATATAAAAAAGGTCACACTGGCTTCACTTGAATTACTCCTGAATTACACTTAACTGAAGTCATACATGAAAATTCTTCAGCCAACCAACACTTTAAGAAAGCTTTGGGACAGAATTAAACAGAACCATGTCTAAAGGAAAGCAGAACATAGACAAATGCTAAATTTGTGTGATTTATTTTAACTTTTTCATGACTATAGTAAATCTACAAGAGCATTTAAGTAGGATGCATGGGAGGAACTAATACAAGAAAAAATGATTAATCAACCAGAGGCAGGAGATCTGTCTTAACAGCATATAAAATAAAGATCTGATTATGGCAAATGTATTAAATAATATCTCATATACTGAGACAATGCAAAAGCTTATCTGCATATTAAAAACATGATCTGCCCAACAAACTCTTCCACAGTTCATAATCAGGTCAGTTTTACTAATGATAATCATGAATAAAAGGCTAATTTACATGTAATACTATGTAAACCAATGCCACATTTACAGGGTTAGGATTTTTATTAAATCCTAGGTGGGAGATATTAGGTATATGAAAAGACCTTGAGACAGCAATCTCATAGCCTCTTATAACGTACTTTATGGCTATTGAAAGTTGCTAATTATCACTTTTTAAACATGCAACTCTACACTTTATCTCAGCTTCATTTTCTGGCAAGCCCTGGCAGTTTTATTGTGAAACTAGCTTGTTCAACATGTTAACACTCATCAGAATCAGAAAAATGAAATATATTATGGCTCCAATTTTGGCCAGTATTAAATATACATTCATAGCATTTATGAAAATATGCACAAATCTTTTGTTGTAGTTTATAAGAACTAGAAAAATTAAAATGAAATTCATTCAGCTGAAGCAATTTAATTTTCAACATTCTTACAGGGTCTTGTTATACCTGAAGAGTCGAAGGAGTCATCTCGCAAATGAAAAATATTGTGTGTGGTAATTACACATCGTCAAACAAGTTCAACTTGTTCCACCAAATGCTTGCCTCCTAATGCCTAAGACAAATTGCTGGTTTGCTTTTAGACCTGAACCAAAGGTTTATTGTTCTTAGGCAATTTTAAATAATTTTTTTTACCGGGAACAATAATATTTTTAAAATGTGCTAGTTAGGCAGTTTTGTTTATTATTCAACCATTGCTTAGGGCAAATTATGGTTAATCAAGTATGTTACTTGACAGAGAATCAAATTTAGAAGTCTTATCTGTGATGAAAACACTAAAAGGCATCTTGTAACACCAGTAAGTGCAAGATGTGCACTTTGTGACAACAACAAAATTATACCCATGCTCCACCCTGACATTAAAGAATTCCTAACAGCCAAAACAGCCACCCAAAAAGACACTGCTAACACACAGACCAGTGTTACAAACTAAGGCACTTTAAGCCATGAAGTTGTAGAAGCTAGCACAAATCAACAAGTATGACCTAAAATTTTGCGAACTTTGATAAATGCGGATGTGTTTTCATGAAATGGGAAACACTTTAAGTAATATTACTGGCCATAGATAGAACCTTGCAAATTTGAGGATATTCACTTTATATTTGCGGTGCAGATGTGGATATCTGTGGCTCATTTTTGCAGATGTGGATGCAGAGGCAAATACAGATTTTGTATTTAGGACCCACAAATTTGCAGACATCCATTTTATATCCATGGTTCATATTTGAGGAAGGAGAGATTACAGGTCACTTCTCTAAGGTGAGAAATGAAGAATTCAGACATACTGAAGAGGAGGAAAAACTACAAATTACTGAAGTTGTGGACTAGCAAATAAGTTGCTTTATTTGAAGGATTTTCCCCTCCTCTCTTTGGCTCAGTCTGTCCCAATCCCCTCTACAATACAGCATCAAATGCAGTTCTCATTACTTTCTCATTAGGAATTCCCATATATCATGCATCAGTAATCCCAATTCCAGCTCAACAACACCGATTTAGTAAGAACATAGTTCTAGGTAGTCGCTCTCCTATGGGCAGAGTTGAAAAGAATCATAACTTTTGAAACCTCCAGTGAACTAAGATACATTAGTTGTAACATACATTATGTTACTCACATTTGAAAAGCTGAATTTCCAGTTTTATGAGGTCTAAACAATATTAATGGCCACTGTGAATAACCTTTTTGGTTTTGAAGTTCTTACCTGTACAACTGACGACTGCAAAGCTGTAATAAAGCAGATGAAACTATTAGATTTGTAAATCAAGCCTTCCCTCCCCAGCGCCCAGCTTAATGTGACTTCCGTAATACATATTATGTAGCAAAAGTATCTCTTTAGGACTAAGGAATTCAAAGGTATAATTTGTGAAAAAAAACAAAAACCTGTTGGTATTCTTTCACAGAACTAATTTTCAAAATAAACTTCAGAGAATCCAGTCAGAATTCACACTGAAGGCAAACAAATATCATTCACTATTATCACCATTACACAATCTGTTTACTTCTTCATTTACTCTGGCACCTAGGTTCACTTTTTTAAACATTTGTGTTCAAAAACTGATACTTTTAAATAAAGACTCCATGTTGCAGAGTTTGAAAGAACATAGAACAAAAAGATTCTGCTTCAAAGAGCTAACAAACTAGATATTGGACAAGGGACAAGTCAAAATAGACAGGGTTGCACAAGAAAACAACCCTAAACAGAATGACAGGCTGTGGTCTCAGCACACCAGCTGCCTATGCACTGCCAAGTTTGTTGCAGGCATTATAGCAAAGGAGAGTTTTAAGGAGGGATCAGAGGTTAACAATGAGGTGGCTTCATGGATGTTTATGGGCAGCAATTCCTATGCATGAGGGGTAATATGTAAACACAAAGATGGTTTTTTGAAAATGTAATACGCAGGTGATGGAGGCAGTCTGCATTAGCTGACCTGGGGTAGAAGCTGAACACTTCAAAGCATATGAGAGATGGTAGGTAGCATATAATTAAGCTGTGAAGTGCCCTTAAAGTAAAAACAAGCAGCTTACATCTGATGCAATGGAGAAAGAGTAGCTAAAAAGGGTGAAAGTGATGAGCTACGAAAGTTACTTTTGAAGGGGCACTGCAAATGGATGCAATTGGGACAAAATAACATTTATCAAGGCCAGAGAAGAGAATGTTGCAAGATGATGAGAGACTAAAGCTGGGTGGATGAACAGGAAAGGCCCATTTAAGAGATGCTATATGGAAAGAATCTGCAAGATTTAGACACAGTCTGGATGTGACAACCTGGGGAGAGGCCTACACTGAAGACCAAAAAAGGAGGGTGGGGAGAGAGGAAATTTACCAGGAAAATTAGATCAGTTTGAGCAATGCTAAGCTTGAACAAGGGACTGGACATCCACAAGGCAATGTCAAAAAGTAAGGTGAAGATTTTAGCCTGGAAGAGAAAGACAGGCCAGAACAGAGCGATAGAAATGTGAGTTGTCCTAGGAAAGATAGCTTAAATGCGTTTGTGAGTGAGATAATCCAAAGACAAGTTGTAGCAAGAGAACAGAAGAAGGAAAAAGGACTGTGCTCTGTGGAACTCCCATAGAAAGTTGGAGAGCAGATGAGGAAGACTCTCTGAAGATGATAGAGTCATTAGAGAGGTGAAAGAAGAACCAGGAAGAAAATGAGTCACGGAAGCAAGGGAGGACAAGATTTGAAGTAAAGCATGGCTGATAATTTCAAAGCATCTGACAGATTAAGAAGAGTTAGTCATTAGAGACTTTGGTAATAGCTATTACAATAAAATGCAAGGGGATTTAAAGAGTCTAGGATGGAAGTGGAGGAAATAAACTAATTCAATGACCTTATATATATATATTTAAAAGCTTCAGAGGGGTAGCCGAGTTAGTCTGTACAGGAAAAACTTAAGAACTGAAGAAGTGGGCTGTGCTCACGAAAGCTCATGATACCATCTACACCAGTACTTCCCAACCTTTCGGGGCTGCCGGGCGCCCGGGGCTGGGGCCTCCCATGTGCTGCACGCCCGGGGCAGGGGCCGGCCCAGATCATTCGGTGGGCGTTGGGGACCACTAATCTACATAATGGTATCATGTAGTTTTGTTAGCCTTTTAAGTGCTACCAGACTATCTGTTGTTTTTTTAAGTTTTTCCTTATATATATTGTTAGTCTCTAAGGTGCTACAGGATTGCTTGTTGTTTTTTAGGTTTTTTTAAGTTACAAACTGACTTGGGTACCCCTCTTAGACTTAAGGAAACAACAATTGCAGAGCCAAATGGGGCCACAGGTGGGGTTTTTTCATAAGAAGGGAGATACTAAAGCTCCTTGTGTTGTGAGGATAAAGAATGAGAAGAAAATGAGAGTTTAAAGAGAGGGGCAAGAAAAGGAATATGAGTGGGTATAAGGGAAGCTGGGGTAGTCAGGGGGGCCACTTGAATAAATGAAAGAATTTGAGGAGGAAAACAAATGAGAAACAAGGAAGAAGAAGAGTTGGAGAAGAAGAGCAGGAGGTAAAAGGAAAGTTCATGTGGCATTTTGCTTATTTCCTCCTCAAAGAAATGAGAACCTGTGCAGAGAAAGATGGAGGCATGAGCAAGCCAAGGGTGTAAGAAGGGAATCAAAGGTGGTGAAAAGACAACTGAGATTTCAAATGTGGGATTCAATGAGGATAAAGTACCTTGACTAAGAAGATGTCAGAAGTCAAAGTGCAGAGAACAAATCTGTAAATGTCAGTCAGGGTGATCACAGGATTCCCTGCCAGACCCACAGAGCAAAAGTGAAGAAAAGGATGTTGAGGGGTGGCCAAACATTTGCAAGATATGCAGGAAGTTTTTTTTTTTTTTTTTTTTAAGAAAAAAATATCTTTCAACATCCTTCGTACAAAAATGAAAATACAACTATTTATACTGGGCACAAACCTCCCAATGGATCTGCTTAAGTCCCTCCAACGATTTTCCATCAAAATAATTCGTAATTGATCTGCAATATTACAAAAAGGTTTTAAGTCCAAACATGGCTATTTCTTGAATTTATATGCAGAAACAGCCCCCTCTCAACAGACATATGTTGCACTTTTAAAGTGACAGTAAAAACTTGTAAAGTGACTAAGTGATTCTCAGAACAAATGTGTAGCATTCATTAATGTTCATTGTTTAGGAAATATACAAACAGCATGTTTTCCTACAAGCTTAGAAGTATTATTTCTGTAGAATTATAAAATAATATTTTGGTAACTGAATAAAGCTATTTGTAATGATAGAATTCTAAGACTTTTTCAACTTGGTTTTACTTTAAGGCAAAGGCATTTGTGCCTTCCCTCTACTAGAATACAGTACTTAAATTATAAAAGTAGAAATTGAGGCACACAATTACCAAATGCCTTTCTTTTTAGAATTTCACTTTAGTTCCAGACCATGACACAGGTTTCTCATGTTTAAAGAATTTGCTTTAAGAGGAATATGACTAGAAAGCATGCTCCTCAAGAAAGAGGTTGTTTTCCAGTAAACAGCCACATCGCCTTTTAACCTTTTCACTAGTGGCAAACATAAACCAGTTCAACACTGATACTTTTACTTACTCTATTGATTCCTATTATTATATTCAGCTCAAGCAAATGTACTATCTTTAACAGGTTTTCTGACAAAATCATGTACATCATTAAGTTACTAAAATAATTACATTAAAAGCCATTGTTATATTGTTGATCTACACAAGTACTTTTTGTAATACCATGTCTGAACAATTTCAGGAGTCAAAAAGGAGACCTATTTACCTCTTGTTCCCCTTCAAAATTCAGCTCCCTTGGGATATAAGAGTTAGGTTGGGCATCAGAATTTTGGAAGAAACAAGATGAAAACTAAAACAAAATTCTGTAAATGCCTTTGGTTAACAAATATCTTTAAATTTTATAGAATTTAGTTTCTTTACTTTCATTCAGGTATACATTCAAAAGCCTGACTATAAGCTGCCTTGAACTTTGTATAATTAAAATGCCACTATTAGTGTGAGTGGCAAATTACAATTTGGTAGTGTTTTTCAATCATTTTGCACAGATGAAGAATCCAACTTGCATCAGTGAAGACTGATGTGACAATAAGTAATTCCACCAACTAATTTATGGTAATCATTTTGGATACACATGCAAAATTTATAAACTGTACTTCCAGACCAAAATTAAATAGTGAAAATTACATCAAACCAGCTCTCATAGCAAAGGAGGAAATGTTCTGGCAAACTGTGGTAGTTAATGCATACTTTTAACAATGTCTTCTCTCAGGCAGTCTCACTTTCATGATTAATAATGGGTTTAGATCTGAGTATATAATCTCACCAATTAGTATGTAAAAACTGAGCAGAACTGATGAAAATTTAAAAAAAAATCATAATAAAGAGAAGCACTCTAAGATGGAGTATTTCAAAATTATACTGGAGAGGTTTCTGAAAGATTATACATTAAAAAGAAACATGACAGTTTAGATAATGTTGTCTTTATACCGATTATTCTCTGCTGCTAGTTTGTACAATGCATGGGTGATCTCAGCACAGGCAAGAATAGCTCCATGACGAATATGTAAATCTGGACCCACTGCTAATGGCAGCAATTTAGGCAAAACTGCAAGAAATGAAATGAAAATCAGTAATTGCATATTATATTACTATACTTTTGTCTAGAAATTTATGTGGAAAAGTCATTTCTAGAAACATCATCTTCTCCAAAACTGTATCTTAGAGAGAAAGCAAGAACATGTTCAGATTAGGGATGTTAGATAGCGTAGAACTGAATAGTCATGTAACTGCATCAAATTTTAGCATTTACACCACTGTACAATAGTTCCCACAGGAGGCTCCCTGTGCGACTGCCTCTGATACAGAGGCAGCAACGTGGGATGGCAGCAGCCCTGTCCGCAGGGGATCCGAGCTCTGGGACAGTAGGTAGAGGCAGCAGCACAGGAGAGAGGGGAAGGGAAAGCTGCTCCAGAGAACTGACATATACAGATAGCTGGCTTAAAATGCAGTAGCGTGGGGAGGGGACGGATCTGGTGCTCGTGGGGAGACAGCTTAAAGCCTACTCTCCACGGGCACGGGCTCTGGGAGGAAATGCGTGTTGTCGACAGGATTAACCGATAAACCCAGGCTTATTAGTTAATTGTGTAGCCTACACATTGACATCCCTAGTTGAAATTCCTAAATATGAAAATCAGTTTTAAAGATGTGAATTGGATTAACTACTGTTAACAAAAATTTCCAGTTCCACAGTTTCTTATTTTCGAGTAAATAAAATGCTTTCCTTTCCCAAGTCAAGCACTTCCTTAGTTCTCTATTAGCCACATAGTAAAAGCATTGTATTTTACTGTATCTACCCTAACTATGCATGTTGCAAAGGTTTATAGAGATCTGCAGCTTGCTACCAGTTACATGAGTTTGTCAAGGTATTTTTGGGTTTCAAGATGCTCGCAGTCATTTCTTATTTTTTGAGTTTATGCATAAAGCGGTTCTTCACTCGCTTTAGACTCTAACTTTAAACATGCATCATTTTACATTTTGGAGTGGCTGAAGGCTTAAGTTCAAAATTCTGCTTTCCTTTCCAAATTTGCAAATACCACTGTAATTCACGAAAAGAAAGTTTTAATGCCTCCAGAACTACAGCACCGCTATTCCAAGTTGTGGGAAAATATCATGTTTAATGTCTTATTAAGCCATATTAAATTTTATTTTGTTTAAGTCTTGTTTAAGTCTTTTTGCTATGTGCCCAGAAACACTTGATATGGGGACTACATAAAACATTACTCACCCACATTTGTCATATACTCAGGGGCCTGTGGAGTGAGGTTTCGCAGAGCTTTAGTTGACAGTTCTCGAATAACACTGTGGAGATTAAAGAAAGTTTTTTGTTTAGCTTCTAGAAATCACTGAAGTATTAGTTACTGACTGCTGCTCTTTCTTCATAACAAAAAAAGTTGCAAATTACGACCCCATCCTGCAATTAGATCTGCAGATAGACAGGGCCCTGCACTGCACAGAATTCTTCACTGCACACTAAAAGATCCTCAGAGGGCACAGAAGGAAGGAAATGTTGACTAAGCTATAGTCTATATAATTATCTAAGTAAAACATATGCTGCTAAATCACGTTAAGGAAATCCACTGAAGACTTCCACAGATAGTGAGAAATGTTTTACCGTCATGTTTAACACTGTTAAAAATGTTCTCCCTTGATGGTTACTATGCTTAATTTAGGGAGAATCAAACTTCCTTTTGTACAGCATACTGCCTAAATTATTTTTTTTTCCTTAGAGAAACTAGAAATGAAAAGGAAAAACATGTTATTGATGAAGATGCTCTTTTGTCACGGTCTAGCACAGGGATGTGCAGTAAGTGACGCATGGGCCAGATGTGGTCTGCCAGGGTTAGCCCCTGGCAGGTCACCAGATACTTTATTTATCTGTGTGTTCGCAGGTACAACTGCTTGCATCTCCGGTAGGCAAGGAGGTCCAACAGGAGCTGTGGGAAGTGTTTCAGGCCAGGACAGTACTTCCCATATCTCCCACTGGGTTCACAGACTGCCCATCCCTGGTCTAGCAAAAGAAAAGGGTAATTGTGACCCCAAAACAGCAAGACTATAGTTAATGGCTTTTAGATTTCAATTTACAGTGCTGTTGGTTTTTATTTCTCTTTTTAAAAAAGAAAGAATATTGAAAACCTAATAAATAAGTTGGGCCTCATTTTAAAATACATACATCTAACAGCTCACAGGCTCAATAAGATTAATCACAAAAGCTCTTGTAATATATATATATGATCAAATATGTATTTTCACCACAATGAGCAATACCAATCATTATTACAAGTTGATAAATAGTGAGGGGGATGTTTCTGTAAGTCAGGGGGAGTCCAACACACATCAGACATGTACAAACTATTATAGCCTCACGTACATGTGTCATTTTATTTGCAAAAAGAACGTTTAGCAGACTGTTTTATGCAACCATTCTAGAGTCTAGAAGAGTTAGATGCCCAACTCCAATTGAAAACCTTAGGTTTCTCTGAAAAGCTCAACTCTTAAAATATACCCTCACAATTATCATATGAATGTTTCTTCTTATACTTCTAACATTTCTTGATTTTGCAACACTTACACACAATTACATCAGAAAGGACAAACTTCTGAATTCTAGGAGTCCTACATAGACACTTGTATGAACAAACATTTAATCAATGTGATCATAAACAAAACCGTGAACAAGACCTGAATGGGTGTTTTGTTTTTCCCCTGAATTTCTCCATGGACAACCCTGTTGTAGCATTTCTGAAGGTAAATGACCATTAAGAAGGTTTCTGATTGTTAATTCAAATATCCAATCCAGTTAAGAGTTAGCATGTAAAAAAGCATGGCTTTAGTCCATAACTATATTTTCCAAAGCACATATAAAGACACCACCCAATGTTATGTAATTTCCCCCAAACACTAGTGGCCCAAATCAGGCAGCCTGAATTTAGCTCTTGGCTGCATGAATGAAATCTTACTGTTGAGAGAGAGGAAAAGCAAAATAAATATGGATGGTAGCACCTCAGGGCTCATCCCAGAGAGAGACATCATCACCATGAGCAGTAATAACCTGTTATAGTAGTGTTTCATCACATTTGTGTTATATGTATACATGTCAGTGTTCATGCAACAACGAACACAACTCCATTTATCCTACTGAATTAAGTCTGCTTAATCACTGATAATTATATGGTGATGATGTTGACACTCAGAAATACTATGTACTGTATTAAATAATGATGCGTTTTATTCACCTCCTAAAACTAGGTTTAAAAGTCACAACAACAGTGGCGAGATGCCCACATCTACCTCCCTGCTGTTGGAAAAATCACAAGCGTTGGAATAATTTCATGATGTCCCCACAATCCATGACGTCATTCACTGTGACCCCATGAGTAAAGGGAAGCGCTCTTCATTCCCCACCAGAATTTTTTGAAGCCCACATTGAGAACCACTGATGTAAGCCATTGATTACCTGCCAATACATTAGCAATACTAAAATGTTAACATTTTTTTCTGAAAATGTTACCATTTGTGGAAAGCAGAAACTTGTCCATACCCTTAAAAACAGTTTTATTAAAAATAATCGTCAGAATAGGATTTTTTTTAATTCTACAGAATATGATTCAGTCGCTTCATCAGTAAAACGTAATTAGCATTTGTAAGTCCCAGCACAATTAAATCTGATCCTGACTGAGGCTTCTGGTTCCCACCATAGTACGGATAAAAATAAATAGACCACAACCACCCCATCAAAGAAAGCTAACTAAAGCATTCCAAAAAGTAAAACTTACAGAATAGTTGTATTCCAAATAAGAAGTTATATTTTGAAACATACCCATCCCAATGGTTGATCTTCATGTTAACCAGGTGGTCAATCATTGCTTGTGTATACTCAGGAAAACTAGCAATGTACACACTGAAAAAAAGAAATAAGTACATGCATATATACAAGAGAATATAGAATGTATATCAGTTTGAGTTTTAGCACAGAGTAGAATTAGGACTGTCGATTAATCGCAATTAACTCAGAAAAAAATAAAAAATAATTGCAATTAATCAGTTTTAATCATACTACTAAACAACAGAACAACAAATGAAATGTATTAAATATTTTGGATGTTTTACATTTCCAAAGATACTCATTTCAAGTACCACACAGAATACAAAGTGTACACTCCTCGCTTTTTCTTTTTCTTTTTTATTTGCACTGAAATTGCAAATATGGAAAAACCCCCGGTGGCAGCAGGGCTGGGGTGACCGGGCAACCTCCACTGGGGAACTCCCTGGCTGAAGCAAGGCTGGTGGAGTTGGGCGGCCTCAGCTGGGAAACCCATGGAATTCCCAGCGGCCACGAGGCAGACCCAGCAGTGGGGTGGCCGGCATGATCTGCTTCAGTTCAGAACTGTAACTGTTTACTGCTCAGCTATAACATATTCAGATGCAGATGCCCCCCCCCCACACACACACCCCATACAGATGCAACATGACTCAGCAAGAAGAATCCCACAATTCCATCGGACAACTTCCTTTGTCCCATCTAGCCCAACAATCTGCAACCCACTATTGAAAAGAAGAGACATCCTCAATTTGTAAATGGCCACAGCTTAGGTCAGCATTAACCCATCTCTTCTGATCCACCAATCCACAAGCCTCTTCGGTTTGCAATGGAATGAGAACTTGGATCTGTGCTAGGGATGTTAAAAATCAGGTAACTATGTAACTACTGAAAATTTCAGCAATTACATGGTTACACAGACCTGCAGCATGACGAAGCCAACTAGCTCCCCAGGAGCTGGTACACGCTGGGAGCAGACTTTTAGGCCAGCTCCTAGCACGCACTGGCTGCTGCCTGCTGGCTCCACTCTCGGGGAACCAGCTGCTGATTCTGTATTAGAGCCCTCAGCTCCTGTCCCACTCACAGGGAGCTGGCTGCGGTCCCATTCTGTGGAAGCGGGGTGAGAGCCTGCATGTAACCGTTCACAGTTATCAATAAGCTCAGGCTTACGATTGACCATGTAAACAGTTATCCTATTACATCCCTAGCCTATGCATTGCAATTTGGAGGCCAGAGCCCTCTATTCAAATACAATTTAGAAAAGTCTTAATGTGGGTTCAAATACAATGCAGATGCTTAATCCCAAGGTTCCCTAACATGGGTCAGATGACTCAAGTCCACAAACCGTGGCCTTACATTACAGTGTTGAATGTTCTATCAGTTTTAAATTGGTTTTTTGTTTCACTGAATGTCTCCTTATTCTAGTATTAGGAGAGAATTAATAGGAGACCTTCTCTAATCCATCTCCTCTCTAAACAGTTCTACTTTTGCGATCTCAATTCACATGGAAGTCTTCTCTGTGCCATGTCATTTTTATCAACTGATTCTGAAACGTCCCTATTTCTGTACTAGCAGTTTTTCACATGGATCCATTCTTCCATCCATAACATAATGGTACATATTTTCTATTCTTGGATCTGGACTTCTAATACTCCAGTCGTCTGAAGTGGGTTTTGCCAATGAAAGCTCATGATACCATCTACATGTTTTGTTAGTCTCTACGGTGCAACTAAACTATGTGTTGTTTTTAAGGTTTTCCAGTTACAGACTTGGCTTCCCCGCTGAACCATATTTTCTGTATATGCACTGTTATGAATTGAACATACTATCCCAACTAAAGACACAGCATTGATTTACAATAACATTTATTATTCCAAATAAATATTATTCTCCATCCAATTCTTTATACAGCCCACACTAGAAAATTTTGTTTGCTTTTTCAATTACTGTTGCACTGAAAATTTTGACTCAATGAGCTGACCACTGTGATGGTCTTTATCCGTGTTTATAGTTAATATAGAAATTATTGCTTGTATATCTGGCATGCTACTACAAAGCAAGCCAACATTAGAGCCTAGATCAGTGGTCTCCAACCTTTTTAACCACAAGATCACTTCTTCAATTTAAGTACAATGTAAAATCTACCTCAAACCCAAATACCCTTGCCCTGCTTCCTTCCTGTCCCTTTGAACCCTGCTTCAGCTCCACCACTTCTCTGAAGCCTCACCCTGCTCACTCCATCCTCTTCCTCCACCAGCCTCACTCACTTTCACCAGGCTGAGGTAGACGTTTGGGGTGCAGGCTCTGGTCTTGGGCCAAGGGGTTTGGAGTGTGGGAGGGGCTCTGGACTTAGCCCAGAGTGGGGGATTGGGGTCCAGAAGGGGTTTCAGAGTGCAGGCTCTGGGAAGGAGTTTGGATGCAGGGGGACTCACATCTGGGGCAGGAGGTTGGGTGCAGGAGAAGGTTCAGGAAGCTAGCTCTGGCTGGGCACGGTTTGATTAAGATGGCTTTCAGGTGGTGAAGCAGCAGAGTTAAGGCAGGCTTAGTCCTTCCCTGGCCGTGCACCACTCCTGAAAGCAGCTGGCACGTACAGCAATGGCTCTATTTGCTGCCCCTCATCTACAGACATTGAGCCCATAGCTTCTACTGGCCATGGTGACCTGTTATCGATCAATGGGAGCTGCAGGAGTGGTAGCCACAGGCAAGGACTGCATGTGGAGACCCCTGCTCTGACTTTCTCAGAGCTGCAGAGACTTGCCAGCCACTTCCACAAGCAACAATTACCACAGGGATAATTACTCTAGCTACAACGGGTTAGGTATTTTAGAACTCACTGCTCAAGGGATTAAATTTAAGCATAAGAGAAATGAAATTTTACGAAATGCACAGACCAGTCAAAAAACAAAACTAACACACTTTGCAAGGAGTAAAAGTAGTACCAACAGCCCCCCACATATTTGTTGGGTTGGGAGATGAGTGTGAAGGACAGTGTGTGTTGTGAGAATAACAGACACACACATATTGTGTGAATGGCAGAGATTTGCATTGCCAAGCTCTCTCCATCCACTTCTCTCTGTGTGGAGACAGGGTACATAAATAGGAGTAGAAGGGACCCTCTAACATCAGCAACTCCCCTCTTCTCCCTTTCGTATCCTGCAGAGCAAGCAGGAAGCTCCCAGGAGGGCAGCTCCAAGGCAGAAGGCAGAAGCAGCATGACAGTGGGTGGAGAAGCCACAAGTGCCAGCACTTGATAGCTTCCTGGCTAAACCAGTCAGGATCACCTGTCAGAGGCTCCAATATCTACCAGTAGATCCTGATCTATTGTTTGGTGACCACTGTGCTAGATTATTTGCCTGATGCATAGTAACATCTTATGTGGCCAGTATTACAGTACAATGAAAAACTGAGAATGCAGCTTAAAGTATGCTTTGAAGTAATAACACACTAAGCGACATTCAGGGATTTTCATTGCACTACAACAGTGTCCACACAGGACACTACTACACAACAAGCTGGTGCATTGTAGATTCACACCCTTGCTTTCTCACAGTAACTTTCCATGTATGTCAGCTATGATACAAGAAGTTCAATTAACTCCTTTCAATAGGCATTACCTTGCATATGTCAGCAATTAATTTGTTCTCCAATCATACCGACCATCACTTAGTTGTCTTATACTCCTTCCAAGTCCCTCAAAGTCTGCTCCATTCTTGACTAGCCTAAGTAATTTTGGATCACCTGCAATTTTCACCACATCGCTGATTACCTGATTACTGATAATTAACTAGCACTGAATAAAATCAGGCCTGGTTTAAATACTTGGGCCACATTATTTAAATTTAATAATGTTACATTTCTGCCAAGCCCTACATACAATCTGTGTTCACAGATAGGAATAAGAAAATCAGTTTTCTATTACTAAAAAAAGATTACAATATAAGGTTGTAAGGTAATAAATCTCTATTAAATAAAGCAAGCACGTCAAGTGTAATAAATCTAATGTATTGGAACTTACCTTATATTAAGGAAACAATTAACTCTGTTACCAACAGCAAAATAATCAGCTGCAGTCAAAATGTCAATGCCATGTGGAAAAGTCCCCTATCAATATTAAGAGAAGAGAAAAAATTATAATGACTGATTATATCTTGTATTAATGATCAACAACAGTCAAAATATCCCCTATGCTATCAGGCACCACCTATACACAATATCAGCAGCCGAGCATCCACACTAACGGTATTTCAAAATAACAATTTTGAAATAGGCGTCATACCTCATCAGAAGCCGAGGTTATTTCTTTGAAATAACAAGCTTGTTATTTCAAAATAATTTCAAAATAACAGGCTTGCTGTGTGGATGCTCACCTTCTTATTTCGAAATATCTCCCTGGTGTAGACATGCCCTTATAGACTAACAAAACTATATATTGTATCATGAGCTTTCATGGGCAAAATCCACTTCTTCAGATGAGCTAGAGTGAAGCACTCCAAAACCCACTCCATTTGTTGGAAGTGCCAGGACACTTTTCAGAAGTGATTTAAACAAATCCGATCCATTCATTTATATCTAGTACTTCGCAGTAGGACTGGTTTAAGCAAAGCAGAAAAACTGCGACATCACTGAGCTGCTCCCAACCTCGTGTAAACTGAAATCAGAGAGCAGTTTCTTGCTTTATCCAGTATCACATGATGTGGAGGCAATGTGAGCTGCAATGCAATGACTAGACACTCCCGAGAATCAAGTCAGTCCAGGACGTACCACAGCCCAAAATGGACCACATTACCCTGGAAGCTTTCTTCTACTATTATCCCAAACTTCATCCTGTAACACACATCAGTTCTGGACATATTCCTTTTTGCCCTCTTCCCATCACTAGGAGAGTGAACACCCAGCTGGCATGAAAGAGAATATGAAGCAGCTGAAGTGAAGAAGGCCTAACATAGAAAACTGGCCTTAGAAGAGAGCCTTCTGAATAAAAACGTAAGAATGATCATTCTAGGTTACACAAAAATTGATCTAGCCCAGTATCCTGTCTTCCAACTGTAGCCAGTGCCAGATGCTTCAGAGAAAATGAACGCAATTATTGAATGATCCATCCTGTCTTCCCGTCCCTAACACCTGGCAGACAGAAGCTTTAAAGCATGGGTTTGCAGCCCTGACCATCTTGGCTAATAGTCACTAATGAACCTATTCTCTATGAAATTATCTATTTCATTGTAGAACCCAATTATACTGTGTCCTTCACAACAACCCCTGGCAACGAGTTCCACAGGTTGATTATGAGTTACATGAAGAAGTACTTCCTTATGTTTGTTTTAAACCTGCAGGCTATTAATGTAATTGAGCGACCCCTACTTCTTGCATTTTCTTCACTTTCTTCACATCATTCATGATTTTACAGATTTCTATCATATCTCCACTTAGTTGACCATTTTCTAAACTGAACAGTCCAGTCTTTTTAATCTTTACTCATATGGATACTGCTCCATTCCCCTAATCATTTAGGGTATGTCTACACTGCGGTGCTATTTTGGGATACTTCCAGTCTCCTGAAATAGCTATTCCACATCTTTGAAACAAGCCTGTTATTTCAAAATATAACAGACTCGCTGTTCTGATGTCCCCGTAAACTTTGTTCCACAAGGATTAAGGGACATTTTGGAATAGCGGTTTATTTTGAAATTTGGCGCTGTGTAGACAGCAGGTTGCAGTGAGTCTGCCAAGCATGGCCTGCATTGGACTTTCTAGGGTCATGGCAGAAAGCGAACACCCTGCTGTGCAGAACTGTAGCTCAGGACCCCAACCTGAGGGCTGAAAGAGACGCAGTGCCCCAAGTTGTGC